GGCATTATTAATCAAAACATGTCACCAGAACACATTTCGACCATGAAAAGAAAGGGGTAAAAGCCCTGAAAGACATTCACTAAGCCCTACATGTGAACGGGAGACCTTGAACGCTATAAATCTTAAATGAAATGGAGGAAGAGAACAGATTTAGGTCTTGAGCTTGTTCATGAGGAGTGAAGGACATAATCAAAGAGCAAGCTTTTATTACACATTCTCTATTATAAACACACACACACACACACACACACACACACACACACACACACACACACACACAGACACAGCAGCTGCTGAGAGGACAAATTACACTAGTTTATGCCCATTTTTCACCTTACAGAGTCAAAGCAGGAGCCAGATTTTAAAAAGTGGCATAATTCTGTGTCAATCCATCTGTTTACCCCACACGCTAATCTAAATTTCTCTCATTACATCCATTTGGCAGTAAAGCCACTATGCACCTGCCATGTCAAATATCAACACATTCATTCATGTCTATTTACGCTCATGTTTCATTCTAGTCCCGATCCCTCCATCCATCTACACACACAACAGTTCTGTGTGTCTGAGGTGAATATAACAATCTCTCTCTCTTTCTCTCCCCAACACATGTGCACATACACACACAAATACACATGAGCCAGATAATCACACTAAATTAACACAGCAGCGCTGAATCTGTGTGAGTGCTGCTGTACTGGTAGGGGGTGTATTGACCAGGTGCCGTCTCTCACAGATGTGTTGATTAAGGGCCTGTCTGAACACTTCGCCTACTTTTGCGCCATCATGTAGCCACCAACGCCAGTGTTTTTGTATGAGAAAAAGAAAAAACGAGGTAGAAAGACAGTATAATAATGAAAAGATTTGCATTATCTGAAGGAAATACCTGTGCTTGCAAGGCAGCAAAATGATCATGTTAAAGTATTAAGTGAGGTCAGTTCAGTCTAAATGAAATGCTGCACCACAGCAGCTTTGATGCTGCGTGTGTCTTGTTTTCAACCGACTGTGCGCAAGAATTAACACAATCACTCTGCAGCGTCAGGCAGTGTTTCCCAACACTGTTCCTAGAGGCACACCAACACATTTTCAAGCTCTTTCGAATCAAACACCCCTGATTTAACACATCAGCTCATTAATAGAGACTCGAAAACCCGATATGGGTGGGTCAAATAATGGAGACATCCAAAATGTATACTGCTGGTGTGCCTCCAGGAACAGGGAAACACTGGTGTAAAGGGCCGTTCACCCAAAATGCATTTCTGCAGTCCACTTTTCCATTGTTTTTCTATGTAAACATTAAGCTAGATGCCCATGTTTGACCATTGCACTGAAGTTTCACGTCTTTTGCAGTGTCCCATGCATGACACGGCATTCTCAATACGTGGTGCTTAAGTAAAACGTTTTTTCATTGCATCTCACATTTTTGTGTAAATGCATGTTTTTGTGTAAACTGTGTAAATGCCCTTTAAATGTGGTTGTAAGTAAATAATTATGTGAAAGAAAGACAGAACCAATCACAATTCCATATGCAAATGTGTTTAAGAAAGAAGACCATTCAAAATCCACTACTCAAAATTACAACGCAGTCAGTTACATTTTGTTTGTCATTATGTCAATGAGTATGTTTACATGCACAACAACATTTTTTGAAAAATTAAATTCATTATAAAAACTTGACAATACAAGAAAACAAAGTTCACACGAATTTAAAACTTGAATTTTTGAACTGTTTATGTTTATAAACTGATACAAGAACACAGTTAAGGTTTACATATGGCTTATTAAGCACACAGTTGGTATAAAACTGCATGTAAATTGACAGATCTAAATTTCTTAAGGTTTACATTATAGTGCATGAAAGGTTGAGGGAATAGTTAGTGTTTTTGGTTGAATTCTTTTTTAGCAGTTTTTGAATATTTGAGGAATATCAACTTGCAAGCACTTGTGAGTATCTTTCAACTTTGTATGTGACAGAGAGTTCAGTCTAAAATCTTCATCATCAGTTTGCAGAGCAGACTCAAGATGCATAATGTCTTTCTGGTTGTATAAAGAAGACACAATGTGTGTGTGCTTGTAATGGTCACTAGGAGGAAAGAACTCTAGGGAATGTCTTACAGAGTGAAAAGTCGCGTCTTCCAGTAGTGCTAATGAGGGGAAGGGTGCCGTCAGTGTTAATACACTACAGAAGGTCAACCCACACAGATGCAAACACATTTCTGCTCTGCTGAAACTAACAGTACAACTAAAAGACCTGTGGGAGTACTGTCACTAAACGAACATCATGACGACATGGCATATCAATCAGAGCAAGAGAGGGTGGAAGAGTGTGTGTGTGTGTGTGTGAGAGAGAGAGAGAGAGAGAGAGAGAGAGAGAGAGAGAGAGAGAGAGTGAAATGCAGTAGAACATTCTGTATTGACATCTTCCTTATATCTATTGATTCCCCATTATGTTACTAACAAACCCAAGCTGACATTTTGTCATTGGCAATCATCTTAACACCAGGACTTGCCCTGATCTATAAAAACACTTTCTCTCACATTCGCTCACACAAAGCTACCAAAAATAAATATATAAATAGCTACAAAAATATATGGATTCCATTTTGGACACTGTCAGCTGTCATTATGACAATGAAACGATTATCTTTCAGTACTTTTAAAGTCATTTTATCCTAATCGATCAAATACATTTTTAGTTCTTCTTTCTCTCTGTTGAAATCAGTAAAAACAGATAGGACAGATTTTCTTTGGTTCATAAGTCATGCAAAGCAGAATGTTGCTTAATGTTCACTTTTTTTCTCTCTCAGTCAATATTCTCTCATTTTCCAGGACCTGCCTGTTACTGTAATGCACATAAAACTTTAATGGAGCCGTTAATGGCAATAATTCCCGAGACCACTTACAAGAATAGGTCTTGATTATCTCTATCTCTGCATCTGTCCATGTCTATAGCCGCTATCTAATGGGAATAGGGTGTAATAGCTGCATATATTAGTAACTGGATCATAGTTAATAGGTTCTGCTCTCTCTAATGGTGATTAAGAGGCTTTGATGAGATATGCATATTTCTGCTGGCCGTAATGGTATTTGACAGCATAAAATGAAGGACTTCTTCTTTCAGATTTTGCTGAGGTTTAGTTGACTGTGAAGAACAATTTACATAACAAACGTTTGTCTAAAGCTTAGTCAAAATTATTTCAGTTTTGTGAAATTATTAATCAGATAGTTTTCAACATGCCATTCACCCACTTATGTGAAATAGGTGCCAAGTATGTAGATCTAAACAACAAAGTTTACAGCCTTGCTTATCATTCATACCTAATGAGCTAGACGACTGCATCCATACAAGCTGTGCCAAGAGCTCAAGATCACCTCTCACGCTCAAACTCGGTTTTCCATACTCGTTCCCATTTTTCACTGTCATCTGCACCTACTTTCCTTTAGTGGTCCACAGCTTTTTTTTCTGCCTTCTTTTTTTTATCTTCTTTTGACACTCGCTATTTTTCAGGGAAAGGGGCATGAAACTCCTTCTCCTCTCCCTTGGCCCTGTTAATCTCTGAGGGGAAGAGGCTCATTATCCTTCCCCTTTACCATCCTGCATCATTCTTCTGTCTCAAAGCCCAAGAAAACCTGTAAGACTCTGAATTATGCAAATTCTGAATTGGTAAAATCACACAGCTAAAGAACAATGCAATCCCACTAGGTAAAATGAGGTTGCAAAAAAAGTCTGAATAAACTTTACAACACTTTCTGAATGCATAAAAATGAACAAAAGTAATTTTTTAAGCACCATCATGGTTTTTATACCATAATATAGGCAAAGGGTCCCGTATGCAAATAACTAGTCCAAAAGATTTTTTTTCTTCTTCTTTTTAGATTTTAGACTGAAATTCAACCAAATTTATAAGGGGAACTGTATCTTGTTACAAATATTTGATGCAATCCCTCAGTTAATGTGCTCATTAAAAGATACTTAAAGCATAATATTTTACACCAAATGGCATGTACATTTTCCAACATATAATCCATATAAGCTTTATATAAAATAATACAAAATAAACACAGCATAAATTATACAGAAAACAGTTTCTGTATTAAATTACTGAACAATTTCATTGTATTCTCAGACGTCACATACCCAGTAAACATAAGAGCAGCTTGCTTATGCAGTTATGCCTCCTCAATTCAGACTACACCCATCTCCTCCTACTCCACCCCCGCCCTCCTTCTCCATCCCCGATTCCTTGCGTTTTCATCTTTATGTAGCCACCGAACAACCGGCAAGTTCCCGCAATGAAAACAATAACGAAAACAGTCGTCGTTTGCCTTTCGCCGTCTCTTACTACAAACGACGAGGTACAAAACACATCATACACATATATGTATGTGATCATCTATTCAAAGCGCTTATAGCCGATCACACGTGCAACTATCTACCTGACCATCACACTATACATCTGTATTTGTGAGCCAAACATAAGATGTTTAAATAGCACAAATGCTCGTTTCTCTGTTCTCTGTAGCTGCTCTGATTCTCTCCTCTCTCCCCTCGATCCGCCGGCCCCGGAATCGATCCTGCGGAGATCGATAAGTTGGCATGAATATTCCCAGCTCACCGCGAGTTTAGTTCGGGGGAGACGGAGACAGAGGCAGAGGCAGAGGCGAGAGGAGGAGACGGACGGATGCGGAGCCCTGAAGAAACTAAGCACAACGAGAGGGGAATATATTTAGGAAACACCTTGACAAAACAAACCCGACCTGAGCTGCATTTTGAGGCGCGATAGCGCAGTGCTAGTTTTGCTATATACAAACTTGACTCGCGTCGGTTGGACTAAACTGAAAGGTTGGAAAGGGCGGCAAGCGCGCGCGACACAAACAGAAAACGGCAAAATGAGGATGTTTCATTCACACGATGGATACGGGGATTAGGCCACTGAGCGCGGTCACTGGATTCGGTGTTAGAAGAAAGAAAGGGTGGTTGCTCTGGAAGAAAGCCTTACCGGAGTGAGAGCGCAGAGCCAGCGGCGACTTGAGGCGCCAGGCGTGGAGATCAGAGGCAGTTCTCGGCAAGACAAACGGCACCGGCAAAGGAACAAACATGATCCGTCTTCTTGTCTGGTTCTTATCAGATGTTCTTTTTGCTGTTGATTTTTCTTTGCAATTTTAGCAGTTGTGGCAAGATGCTTTATCTCACTTTGGTTCCAGGCGTTTTCGACACAATACCTTGTTATTCATAAAATTGCGTTTATGCGTGGGTTTTCCAGTTACATTTTTTTAATAAAAACCCTTTCCTTTTTCGCTTGTAGTTTACTTTTGATCTACATGCATAGATACGCAGACGCGCGCAGCCCGACTGTATTTTCCCAGTGCGCGCACACAGGCGGATAGACGGATTAAAACAAGACAAACGTGGGTTATTTTACTATTACTTTCACGTTTGTCTATTCGTTTTGGTATTCAGCTACAGTATTTGGTATAACTGTTCGATCTGCTTGCCGAACATATATGTTTCTGTCACTCAAAGGCATATATTTACTATGTTTGCGAACGTCAATAAATGCATATCTCCCGTTGTAAACTGAAGTGTTTCTGTCCTCGTCGACACTGACCACCGTATGTTCAGCTGGCCTGGTCGCAGTCGCTTTAACTTTGGTTATCTGCTTGTGAAATAAACTGACGGTTCTGCATTTGTTCTAATAAAAAAAAAAAAGATTTCACACCCTGACTGTATAACGTATAAAAGACAGCGGATACTGTTATTACTTGGATATGTGGTGCATTTTTTGGTGAATTTATTTGGTCTAGCTCTTCTATAGCTCTCTTCCTTGTTCTAGCAGCTACAGGCTACACATTCATTTAGTCACTAAACGTGGTTAAAACCGTCTGCTTATTTTTGCTCATTGAAATTAAAAATCTATAGAAAAATAAGGCAACTCAACGTGTCCGCCGGATTCGCCCCTCCTCCCACGCACCTTGTCACACACCAGTAATTAAAACGCAATCAATCGACACATGACTAAATAAGGCAAACAAATAAATAAAGCACGAAAACATAAGGGGGAAAAGAGCTCGTTACGTCGCTGGTTTTTAAGATCACTTGCCTATATTTCCGTCCATCCGCCTGCGTGTTTTGGTCTGTCTGCCCAGTCCCGTTATCTGGGAACCCCGATAGCTCATTCGTACACGCTCACCTCCCCTACGCTCGCGCGCTCTGAATCCACCACGCTGTCCGCAGCATTGAAGCGCGAGCGGAGCCGTTACAACTCTCACATCACCCCCTCAGCCACCCACTCTCTCTCTCTCTCTCTCTCTCTCTCTCTCTCTCTCTCTCTCTCTCTCTCTCTCTCTCTCTCTCTCTCTCTCTCTCTCTCTCTCTCTCTCTCTCTCTCTCTCTCTCTCTCTCTCTCTCTCTCTCTCTCTCTCTCTCTCTCTCTCTCTCTCTCTCTCTCTCTCTCTCTCTCTCTCTCTCTCTCTCTCTCTCTCTCTCTCTCTCTCTCTCTCTCTCTCTCTCTCTCTCTCCCTCTCTCTCTCTCTCTCTCTCTCTCTCAACCCCCCCGTGCTCGCCTCGCTGAAAGGTAAAATCACAGTCAACTACAAACATCTCTTTCCAGCAACACTTATTGATCTAATGTAGATTATAAGGGTATAAACAAATTTAATATAGCGAGCAAAACTAGCTTTTTCATACTTAATACAAAAAAAGAAAGGCACTCCCTCAGTGACCATGTTTACATGCATACCATTTTCAGATTAAGTTTCATTTGCTGGTAATATTTTTATTTTATTATTATTAATTTGTCACTCATGTTCATGTCATTCATTTAAGCTTTACTTTGTCCTCTGTTATTGACTTTAATTGTATTGAAAAATACCCAGGCAAGGTATTATTTTTAATACCTTCCTTTGTGCTCCCAAGAAGAAAGAAAAACATATTTGGAACAACATCATAGTGAGTAAATTATGTGAACTATCATTTTAGTTAACTAATTAACTACCATTCATGTGCTTAATAAACAAGTGCACAATAAAAGGCAAATATTGGCCATGCTGTTTTTTTTTATCATAATGCCTTGATAGTAGATAAAACTTGAGTCTAATTCTAAAATGCATCTCTTCAATGTATTTAATATTACCCAGATTTATGTAACTTTTATCCTTTTGTTTGGACTTTTTGGATATTCCAAATGAGGTGTTCACTTTTACCAACAGCCTGATTAATAAAACCACATGTGAGTTATGCTTAACTGTAATGCTGGCTTAATCTGCTCATTACTGACATAATTGAAAATCAACCAAAATTTGATTAATATCACATTATGCAGAAATGCATAGAAATGTAGAGTGTAAATGTTCTTGGACACACCTGAGAATCTCTTAATCAGTCACACAGGCTGTTGCGTTTTTATTCGTCAATAAACATTTTACCAATATGATGTGAAGAACAACAGCAGAAACAAAACGGGCAGATCTCAAGAGAGCTGGGGTGAAACACACTGTTTCCCAAATCTGTCCGGGCCCCAAACAGAACATATTCAAGACGTCTTCAAATCAAGCACCTGACCATCAGCTCATCAGTAAAATACTAAAACACTATTATATTTGTATTTGTCAATAAACATTGTTTACCAATATGATGTGCAGAACAACAGCAGAAGCAAAACAGGCTGATCTCAAGAGAGTTACACACAGTTTCCCAATTCTGCTCCTGGAGCACACCAGCAGGACACATTCAGGATGTCTCCCAAATCAAACACCTAATTATACCCATCAGCTGATCAGTATAATACTGAAAGACCTGAAAAGGGTGTGCCAGATGAGCGAGACATCCAGAATGTGTACAATCGGGGGGCCCATCAAGAACAGGGTTGGGAAACATTGTGCTCGGAAATCTCGTTGTGCCAGCAAAACCTCCCGGGGGCCTTAATCAGCGAGCGCTCGCTGCTCCTCTCTCCTACCGCCAATTCATCACGCCCTGTCAATTACAAACCATGCTGCGGCACACTTACACACAAGATTATTGTCAATATAGATTTTTAAATAGAAAAATCTATACGCTAAACACTCCAATCGATTCCACTAGGCAGCAAAACTCTCAGTGAGCTCAGGCTCAGAAGTCTTGGCAATGACCGAGATGTGAAGAAATGTTGCTAATACAAATCATTTCAAAATCTACTTCTATGCAGCCACAAATAATGATGTGTCATTTTATAATAGTAATAAAAATAATATGATTATGTCTCTTGTTGTAGTTGTTTGTTGTGTTCAATTTTGGGGGGTCTTTCCATCTGCAACAAAACGTATTTCCTCCTTATTTTGTTCACGTTTCATTGTCCCTGTCCTTCTCATGCATCTCGCTATTGACAGATGACATCCGCAGGTCAAGTGAAAGAGATGAAAAGCAGTGACCGGTTGTCCCTCTCGTACCCCCTCGACGTGCTGAGGTAACGGGGCGCTCGGGCCCCTCCCTCCAGTACTCCTTTCAGACAAAAGCAATTATTTCTTGTAGAATATAGTGTGGTTGTGCACATCTAAGAGAAGGAGAGAGGGACTGGAGGGAAAGAAAGAGTGCTAAATTGAGGGAGAGGAAAATAAGATGGTGTTGGAAGGATAGGGAGCTAACACCTCCTTCCTAGCTGTGCTCTCCACACATACCTAGCCATTGTTCCTGTTTATGTTGACTTCCTGGATTAATACACTCTTTAAAATAAAGGTTCCATGAAGAAGCTTTAACATCCAGGGAAAAGGGTCTTTGGATTAAAAAATGTATTTCAAACTAATAAAAAAAAAAGGTTATCTTAAGAGTTGTTCACTGTAAGTTTCTTTGGGGAACCCCGAAAACAGTTATTTTCTCCCATTTTCACCCTTATTTCACACCCTTATGTTGTTTCAAACCTGTATGACTTTTTTCTTCTTTTGCCCAAAGTCAATGGGGTTCAGTGTTGTAGTTAACGTTTACTTTATGGACAAAAAGCATATTTTTCAAATAATTTTACCGGAATTTAGCGGAATTACTGTGAAGGGGCTAAAGATGATTATTTTCTTTTTTGGGTGAATATTTCTTTAATATAACACAATTACAACTTCTACATAGCAAACCAATTATTATATGCATCTTGAACAAAAGTAGTTTTATTAAAAACTTAACGAAGAAAAACTCTTTAGAAACATATACTCTTAAAAATAAAGGTTCTTTTTTGTTTTGTTTTTTTGCAGAAATGCAATAAAAGATCCATTTTTAGTTCATCTAAGGAATCTTTCAGTGGACAGCTCTTTAAATAGCCATTTTACTTAGTTTGAAGAACATTTTAAATATCCAAAGAACCTTTTTCCACTATAAATAAGCCTTTGTGCAGTGGAAAGGTTCCATTGATGTTAAAGCTTCCTCATGGAACTACAGATGCCAATAAAGAACCTTTTTTTCCCCAGAGGATAGCAGCTTGTGATTTTTCCACACAGTGCTGAAAACGGACAAAACGGTTGCCTGTCATTTTGCTTATTGCTTCAACTCATATTAATTATTCAGATGAAATCACAGGAATCCTTAAAACACAGTTTGCTTTTAGCAATTGCCTGTCTAACAGAGAGAGGTGACAGTTTTAGTGTGGAGATCTTCAAATGACTCCACATGAGCGAGGAATGAAACGCATGCATGATTAATGCCGCTGTGTTTGTTATTGATGATTAAACTGTCACGTCTTGACAACCGCAGAAATATTCCATGCTTATGTGCACAGGAAATAATAAATTCTCTAGGCTATAACACACATTATTCAGACAGAGACATATAGCAGAGTGGAAAGTATGATTAATATAATGGAGCAAAAGAGCAGGCTGTGAGAATGTATGTAGGAATGAAGAAGCACAGAATAAGCAGTTTTATATGTGTGTTTGTGATGGCTGCTGCTAAACAATGATGCCACGTTGACAGATGAGCAAGTCAGATTAGATTCTCTTTCATCAACAATATGGTAGTCTGATCAATAATATCTCACTGCTACATCCAGCAACACATTGCGTGTCTTTCATCTCGCTCTTTCTTTCATTCGGTCATGCGTACAGACACATTCAAAGAGCTCAGAAACCGTGGCTGCCTTAATTAAAAGATTCTATGTGACACATTTCGCCACAAACATAGAATATTACATAATTATCTAATATAGTTTCACATTTCTTCCACCAATTGTAGTGTTAGTAAAAGTGAACATGCACATTTATGTCTTGTACATACAAACAGATGGACAGTCTTCCACACACACACACACACATATTTTTTTATTTTATTTTAGAGCAGAAAAGCAGATCCATCTAAAGCCTCTGTTCCTTCCTCACTCGTTGTCTCTTTTATTAGTTTTTATGAACTCCCTCTCCCCTTTTCTCCTTCTCTGTCTCTGTCAGTACTCTCAATAATCAATGCTGATATATTGCCAATATCCCAGCCGGTCCCCGGTGCCATCCCTCACTGTTCCTCCTTTATTGTGGGAGATTGGTCCAAAAATAATTATATTTATTAGATATATTTATTATCCTCAGCAGTGC